ACAGTGGGCTGGAACCATTCCCTTTCCTTTATTGTATAGTTAGCCTGTAATTGTGCAGTGATTGCTCTGAAATCCTGGCAGCCAGGCAGGAACGTAGGTGGTATTGAAAAACTGGTGATGCAGCTCCTTCCCGTAACGGCAGGCGGAGGGTTGGTCAAAGCCCTTTTCGGCAGCGACCCGGTGTGCCTCTAAACACAGCGGGGAAAAACAGAACACCAACCCATCCTTTTGAAGCCTGTTTGAGGATTTGACTAATGGCTTCATGACTCGAGTGAGCCTGCCAGGCTGGCAGGAAGATGTCTGGGATGGCTGTCGAGCAGGAATCATTGGAAGAAGAGGTGAGAAAGGAGCAGGGTTTGGAGAAGGGAGGGATGAACAAGCTACAGGTCTGTACTGGTAAATCCAACTGGGTTGAGTGGGCACAGGAACTTGCTCACCTATGTGGTTCATCGATAGCCCTGGTCCTGCTTTAGCCCATGCTCACAAGCAACAACCCAAACACTTCCCAGCTTAGCACAGGCCAGGGACCATTGCCAGGAGGCAGCTTGGATCAGCCACCTGGATGTGGAGGCTGAAAGTTTAACCCTATGGACCAGGCAGGACCCTGCTGCTTGGTTGTGGGGTTGGAGAAGAGACGTCGGCGCCTTTCAGGTTACTGGAGGTATGAAGCCACATCTGTATGCTGGTGCAGGGGAAACAGAGTCACCTGGAGCTTACAGAATCACCACAGAACCACAGAATGGTTTGGGTTGGAAGGGACCTTAAAGCCCATCCAGTGCCACCCCCTGCCATGGGCAGGGACACCTCCCACCAGCCCAGGTTGCCCAAAGCCTCATCCAGCCTGGCCTTGAATGCAGCTACACAAGGGCCAAACTGCAAGGGCAGTTCTAAATGCATCCCTGGAGGTGCATGAGTTTTGGGTGCTTTAACAATAGCAGCAAAAATGCAAGTGAAGGATCCAGTGTAAAGGCAAAAAACTGACAGGCCAAGGTAAAGACAGTTTAACGCAGGAAGCAAAGCGGAATAAGGAATTTGTTCGCTACTTCCCACCAGTTGGGGTTGGGTGTCCTGCCAGTGTCCTCTCCCAACTTCTTGTGCAGCCCCCAGATGTGAGAAACAGAGAAAGCCTTGATGCTGTGCAAGCACTGCTCAGCAATAACTAAGACACTGCTGTGTTACCAACACTGATTTGGTCAAAAATCTAAGACATAGCACCACATGGGCTGGTACAAAGAAAGCTAACTCCATCCCAGCCAGACCCAGGACGCAGTGTATGAAGGTCCTGAGCAAGATCTGTCTCCTCAGAGCCAACAAAGAACAGCAAAAGATGGTACCTTGAGATCTGGCAGCATGCAGAGGACTTTGGAGAAAATTACATTCCCCTGAAGGACGTGGTGTGCCAGGTTCCTCCGGGGAACGGGTTCAAACGTGGGGCATCGGACGCATTTGCAAGCAGCAGCATACCCTGAACCGACACCCCAGGCACCTTGGATGTGATAACACGCATTTGCCGGGAGGCTCCCTTCTGCATGAATGGCTTCAGATATCACCAGTTGTGCAAACAGCCGCTCACTCATCTGCAAAGTAACTCTCTTGTCACAAGGCACCCAGCAACCGGGCCCACCTTGAATAAACACTTTGCAATTCTTCATGCTCCCCTACACCTCCAGCTCCCCACTCCACCTCCTCGGCGCTTGCCGTGAGCATCGCTGTGACACTCGGGAGGCTGGAGGTTTCTCAACACCTCCCCAGTGCCCTTGAGTTGCTGCATCAATCTTGGTTCCCCTCCCATCCGAACAAAGCCCTCTTCTCCGTGTAGCATCACTTTTAGGTTGAGCCTCTGGCCAAAAAGTTGCCAAACTGGGCTAATAATTAGCACAGATTAAAATAAAAGTATATGTAGACCACCGACCCACCACACTGTGTTTCAGGGGTTGTTTCTAAACTCGTCACCATAGTCGCCAGATCATTTCCTATTGTTCCCTTCGCCCTTCCCCATGATTCTGTTCAGACCAAGGCTGCTCCCAAAAGTTTTGCTTGCGATGATCATTCTCAGGGAAAATCCTCCCTTTCCCATTTTTTACCCAAATTCTTATGAATCCCAGACTGAAGCAATACTTTTCACACTGGTGGTGAGAAAAGTCCTTCCCATCTACGTCCACTCAAATTCTCTCCCACTGTGATCACATGTAGGAGGACAAAGAGCAAAGTTCTCCTGATAGCTCTCCAAAGGAATTTCAGATAGCTCACAACCAATTGTCTCAATTTCCAAGAGTCACTCCTCTTCATGTACAACCCTCCAGAGCTCCTCTAGGATCTCCCAGGGTTGCTGCAGAGCTGAATTTATCCCCCTGTGTCTGCCCTCAGTACCTAACCCATCACATCATCCTCTGCTCCCCATTTCCCCAATTTAGAAGCACACGGGTTCGCTCTGGAGTTGCATACGTTGTGATTAATGTCTGCAGAGTTAGTGTTAAGAGATATAAATTCAAAAGCCTTGAAGAAGAGGAACTTTTGCTTTCCAGCGGTGCCTTGAAGCCCATCCTGCCCAGCAGAGGAGCCGAATGCGGTGCTCTTCTGTGCAGCCACATGCTAAATCATTGAGTGGTCTGGGCTGTGGGAGCAAAGTGGATTGCATACTAAAGAGCCCTTGAAGCAGTGAGTCGTGATGAGACACAGAGAAAGCAACCAGTTGTGAATATAAAAAGTGTTAGCAAGTGCAAGACACCTCTCAGAAAAGGACACGGGAGGCAGACACTTGGAACACAAATACTCGGAAATACGCAGTAAGAGGATGCTTTGTGATGCTGCAGGGTGGTGTAAGCTCAGTTGCTGCCAGCTGGTTCGTTTTGCAAGCCCTGATAACCTCCAGGAGTGGGGCACATGAATGTGAGAGCAGCGAAGAAGTATCATCTGTCCCAAGGTGGCCAAGCTGGTGCTCCTGAATAGACGGGCAGCTCAAGCATGGCTCAGACAAGCCACCCATGATCAGCAGCGTGGGCTGTCACAGGACTGCCAGAGAAGCCAAAACCAGAGGGATTTCATAGAATCCCAGAATGGTTTGAGTTGGAAGGGACCTTAAAAACCATCTAGCTACAACCCCCTGCCATGGGCAGGGACACCTCCCGCCATCCCAGGTTGCCCAAAGCCTCATCCAGCCTGGCCTTGAACCCCTCCAGGGATGGGGCATCCACAGCTTCTCTGGGCAACCTGGGCCACTGCCTCACCCCCCGCACAGGAAAACATTTCTTCCTAATGTCTAGTCTAAATCTCCCCTCTTTCAGCTTATCCCCTCCTCAGGGCTGCTCTCAATCCATTCTCCACCCAGCCTGTATTTGTGCTTGGGATTGCCTGACCCACGTGCAGGACCTTGCGCTTCGCCTTGTTAAATTTCATGAGGTTTGCATTGGCCCACCTCTCCAGCCTGCAAGGTCCCTCTGGATCCCTACATTAAAACAATCCAAGCAGAAGGACCTCCCTCGTTTCCTTTGGGGGAAACAATTCTGTAGCTAAATAAATTGCAGCATTAGAAAATATATCCTGATGTCCAGCCCCTGCCGCAGCTTGGAGAATCTGTTGATATATTATTAATAGAAAGGAAAATAAATATAGGTATTAATGACAGCAGACACTGTCTACGCCTAATAGCTGCTAAAGTAATATATTCCCCTTGTTTTTAGCTTTTATTAGTCTTTTTGCAAAGGGTTACAAGACCCTTATGCATCCATTAGCCAGTCAGCCATGTGAAATTAATGTGGAGCAATTTTCATAAGCATTACTCAGAACTAATAATAATTAAGCATTATTTTCTGCTCAGATAACACAGAAAATAAAGTCTGACTTTTATGCCAAGATGGGTTTGCATTAGCTTAAGGTAGACGAATTAATTCTCATTTACAAGGCTTCTCCACCAGCTAGCCAGAAAATATCAAGGTAATTAAAACCAATTTGTGAGGTTCTGTCCCATTGCACATTCACTGAGTTTTATCAGCACTGCAAATTACAGGTGCTTTTATGCTGTTGCAAAGGTGGGACATGAAGGAGACCTTGCTGCTCACCTCCTTCCCCATCACTTCCAAGAAAAGCAACTCCCTTGTGAAGAGCAGAATGCATTTTGTAATGCACTCTGTTGCTGGGAAAGCAATGAAGGACCCTGAGTTGCATGAAGGACCAGCTCAGTCCCAGCTCAGGCTGGGATGTGGACCTCTCAGCAATGAAAAAAAAAAAAACTATTTGCTTTTGGTTTGCCATATACTTGCAAAGGATTAATTTTGGCTAATTACCAAGCCAAGGGACTTCTGCAGGCAGTATTTTATGGATAGCTCAGAAACAGTTCTCTGCAGCCAACCAGATTTTTCTCTATTGCCTTTAACACCAAAACCAGGTAAATAAGATTGATTAGTTATATGATGTTACATTTCCCAACACTGCCCAAAAGATTTCTTCTCCTTTTTCTAGCTTAAGGAGACACTGAATTTGGTGTGTAGTCATGTCCCAGAAGCTTGACATATCACCTGGGCAGCTGCTGTGGTCTCTGAAGATGCTCTTAGCTTGGGTCAGCTGCAAGATAGAAGATTCATTAGTTCAGCTAATAATTAGCTGTAAGACACAGTAACCCAGAGCTAATCTGCCAACAGCTAAGATAATTCACAACGGAATAAGGCAAGACCTTCTCAGGGTTTCAGCTTTCCAAGGGGAGCACCTCCTTCAGATGGTACATCTTGACTTTGCACCTGAGCTTAGCAAACACCTGGGCCTGATGTGACCCATCAGTGTTGAGAACCTGGGTTTTTCAGAGGATTGTGGTTTCTCTTGGCTCTCTCATTTCATCTCTCTGGCCTCTCCATCGCTCCCCTCTCTCACTGTGGTGTCTCATTTTGGTGTCTGTGTCCACACCAGTGAGATGGAGCCAGTTGACCTGAGACGAGACTATATAGATCAGCAGCAAAAGAAGAACAAGATGGCAGTTCTGACTTTTATTATGTTTTGAAAACTCTTCTCTAGAGTAATCTAAATGCTATTAAAAAGATAAATGAAAGGAGAGAATACTCAAGAAACACCACCTGTGGCTCAGCCCTGGAAGGAAGCAGCTTGACACTTGGTTGGTTATCCACGCCTTCAATGAAGAAAGGTTTCCCCCTTTTGGCTGTCTCAGCCTCGATCCAGTTCTGGTAGCTGTAAACGGACATTAAGACCTCATAGTTTGGCTTTTCTGCACAATCTACTCCCCAGGTGACGATGCCGACCTGAAACCACTTCATGGTGTACCAGTAGCTGCAAACCAGAGATCCCCCGCTGTCCACCTACGGCAGAAGAAGGATGCGTTAGCAGGGTCAAACCTCAGGTCTCTGCTGGTGTCCCACAGCCTGACTGGGACAATCAAACTCTATCCCGAGTTCATGAGGTTTTGGGGGAACAAGGAAATGTTGGAGTCAAAATTTCCCAGCTCAGCCCTAAGATCCCTGCAGAACTAATAGATACAGAATCACAGAATCATTTAGGTTGTAAAAGATCTTTAAGATCATCGAGTCCAACCACAAACCCAACACTGCCAAGGCCAGATACAGAAGGTAAGAGGAAGAGATCGGTCACAAGCTCTGGGCCAGTGCAATGCCCCATCCTTCTCAGCCTTTTCCACATCCTCCTGTGGCCCCAGAAGGATACCTGAGTCCTGTCACCAAGAGAAAACACCCAGGAGTGAAAAGGGACATTTGCTGTGACTGCTCAGTCAGCCCTTGTCTTCCCCACAAAATGGGTGCATGCAGGCGCTGGGTCCCTGCCACTGTTAATTTTGGGGGCTAGCATCCAGAAATTGGACAAGAAATGAACACTATTCCCAACAAATCCTTCCAACCACACCAATTTCTCTGAAAACTTGCCTGCTACTGCAAGGGCAACTTTCGCTCACCCAGTGTGCGCAAGCCTACAAACGCATGTTCATTGCAAATGTGGCAAGTAAGAAATTCAGCACAAATCCATTTCCCAGGTCATCCAGCTTTCTTGGGAAACGTCCTTCCCTCTTTGGACACTACCTTGAGAAATGTCTTTGTCATTAATGTGCGAAACCCCTTCCACAAGCTACCCTGAGCTAACACACATTAATTAAAGCGTAAGGAAGTAGTCCCCTGTGCAACTCATCGGCACACGCTACGGCAGAATTCCTACTTACGCCATTAGATGGAGGGTCCAGACCCATGATATGTCTATTTTTAAATTTATTTTCCTATTTTTCTTTCTGGTTCAACATGCATACAGGAGGGGAAAATTAAGATAAACACAGAGCAAATATTGCTTCAGCATTCGTAGAATCATAGAATGACCAAATCATTTCAGTTGGGAAAAAACCTCCAAAAACATCAAGTCCAGCCCAAAATGCAATACTGTTTGCACCACCATGGTGTTACTGTAGATACACGTCAGTGCTGCTGGACCATCTTCAGACTCAGGATCTAAAGACATTTCCCAACCCTGTTTCATCCAAGAATTTGCATGAATTACACAAGTGACCCTGCAGTGACCTTGGATCCATACATTATCACTGTGCTGGATGGCATCCTCTCGGCACAATTGAATTACTGGGAATTTGGCTGCTAATTCCCTCAGGGCAGGAACAGGCCAAACCCATTATCCCGGCAGCGAAAGGAAGGCGCTTCCAGCCTCCTACACAGAGATAATAAATGAAGTCGAGTGAGTGGGAGCCGTTCGCAAGCCAGTGACGCACTAACGGCTGATGATCCCGCATCGGTGATACGTCGGGATGCGTCTTGGTTGGCTTTTCCTGGTCCAGGAGATTTTTAGCACTGGGGCAGATCGGTTTCAGGCTGTCCAATCTGGAGGTTCTTCACACGTGCAAAGGACCTTTCTCCCAGGGTGCTTAAATACCCATTAAGTCCTGATACCTTCTGACTATCAAAAAACTTATCCTATTTCCTAGCTGAGAAAATCACAGCAGAAAAGGGATGTGATTTGCACGAGGCAATGGCAGAGCCAGGAATCCCTATTTAAACTATACATCACCCAGTTTTTCCTTTCAAATCAGATCTGTTTGTCCTTTTTTCGCCTCTTTAATCCTGTTCATTTTGTCCTCTGCCTGCTCAGTGACGAAGGGGAGAGCTGTCCGTAGGGTTTGGGGGGACCGTCAGCTGCGGGAAGCGATTTAAAACCGGGGCAGAGAGGGAGTTAGGCAATGCTGTGAAAAGCCAGGCAGCAGCTGCAAATCTATTTCTCTAATCCATGAGTCCTGAGCCCCAAATCCTGCTTCAGATCCCTTTCCACGTGGGCTGAGCGGGGCTGCTTCATGGGTGCAACTTCTAACATGCTGTTTCTCTTAACTTCAGCTGTTTCACTCGAGGATTTTATCACAAAGTGGGCTAAACCATCCTCTCCGTGTGATAATCTCACTCAATTATAGCAGTAGCCCAGATGAATCAGTAGCCTGGTTTTTATAAGCCTAAAGATAGAGAAAATCAATCTCAGTTCCTGGACACTTCTGAATATCCCTGTATCTACCTTAAGCTCTCAAAAATGTTGGCCCAAGGTTTTCCACCCTTGTACAGAAGAGGGTGTGGGAGGAGCAAATTTTGAGCACTGAGACAATTATCTCAGCCCTGGGATGTTTCCAGTAGCACTAATTTAATGAACGCTCAGGATTGAAGAACTTATTAAATGCTGCTTTCAGCCCCCTGGATCCTGGTGGGGAACACTCTCCTGGGCAGCAGCACCCACTAGATACCTGCTCCTGCTCCTCAGTCTGAGCGCCAAGTTTCTGGATAGCAAAAACCCCTCAAAACAGCATCTTTGCTTCTGTTGCATGTTTCTCGTCAACAAGAAAAATGAGCGAAAAGCAACCCCATCGCATCAGATCTGGCGCTGAATTCACGCCTTCCACAACCGCGCGCTAATCCTCCCATTAGGAGAGGTGAGAGCAATGATACATTCCCTGATAAATGGTTCTGGCTTGTAGAAAAACCGTCCCTCACTAACAAGGAGCTTTGTTCACTGAAGCTGATCAAAAGTTTCATCCTTTTCACTGCAGCCAAAGCTTTTTTTGTGAACATCAGGAGCCTTTCTGCTGACTTTAGTGGGCTTTGGATCAAGAGTGTAATCTTCTCCCTTTAGTATTTGTATTCGTGTCTGCAACATGGTAATTGCTCAGAACAAACAAGCCACAGAAATCTTCTTAGGTGGGAGAAGCTCCGGGGGAGGGAGAACAACCCAGCTGATACTCATTAGGTGGATGCACAATCCTTGCGAGTCATTGCTGGTTTCATTTTCACGTTGGTAAGCTCAGCACAAATTGGAGAGAATCGGCAGGTGAATAACGACGCTCGCCATTAGAGCTGCCCTGGCTGCAGAAAGCAAAGGCTTTTGCAAACAGATGATTTCTTCAGCTAATTCACCACGAATAAGCTGTCTTTAGAGAAAGGAGAGAGGAGGGTATAGCCAACTTTAGCACGCAGGTATCGAAAATGAACTGGGTAATGCAGGGCACCTGGACTCCTCTCATGGGATCCCTTTGAGATCTCAGGTGAGAGCCTTCAGCTGCTCTGTCCCTCCATCTCCTTGCTGGAAAATGGGAGAACAAGGCGGCTCTACTCCATCCACGCAGAGGTCAGCAGGGTCCATTAGTAACGACAGACTTAAAGGCAGTTGTAACGCATCTGGCCAGAGATAGCATGTGGCCCAGGCTCCTGTCTCTGACAGTCATCTGTGGCAAGCGCTCAGGGAAGGGGAATAGGAAACAGGGCGATATTGACAGAGTGGTACTTACATCATGGTGGTTAATGGCCTTAGAGAGATCTTCATCCAGGAAGTTACCTAATTGCTGTTTGAATCCATTTATCCCTTAGGATAAATACCCACAACATCCTGGTCAGTGACTTCCATAGTTTAATTATCGGTTGGATGAAAAAACACTTCCTTCTCTTTGTTTTCAATCGGCTGCTTGATACAGCCATCTGACACCCTCTGTTTGGAACAGCAGTGACAAGAGGGCAGCTCCTGACTGTCCTCTCCTTGCTCCTCATGACTTTAGAAATTGGAGTCATATTCCCATCAGACATCTCTTTTACAAGCCTCAGAGTCCTGCTCTGTTATTCCCCTTTCCACCAGAAGCCATTCCATGTCCCTGTTCATCTTTCCCACTCTATTCTTCTCCTCTTCTCAAACCACTACTCTTTTCTCAGATGGGGGGGACAGGAATCGCACCCAGCACACAAGATGTAGGTTCCCAAGATTAGTACCCTGGCACAACGTGCATTTGCTTTGATACCTCCTCCTTTCCTAATAACCCATAATGCTCTCATTGCCTTTTTGACCTCCACAGAGCCTTGTGCTGATGTTTTTGAAGGACTATCCCCAGTTACACCACGGTCTTCTTACATGGTAATAGCTAATTTGGAGCCTATTATGGCATGCATACAGCTGGAGTTGCTTCCTCCTATATTCATTACTTTGCCTTTATCAACAGTGACCTGCATCTGCTGCTTTAACCTCCTATCTCTCAGAATAATGAGATCCTGCTGCACCTCTGCATGCTTGGTTTTCACAGAATCACAGAATGGTTTGGGTTGGAAGGGACCTTCAAGACCATCGAGTTCCACCCCCTGCCATGGGCAGGGACACCTCCCACCAGCCCAGGTTGCCCAAAGCCTCATCCAGCCTGGCCTTGAACCCCTCCAGGGATGGGGCATCCACAGCTTCTCTGGGCAACCTGGGCCACTGCCTCACCACCCGCACAGTTTTAATCCTGACCACTCTGAATAATGCTGTAGCATCGGCCAACCTGGTCGTATCAGCATTTGCCTTCCTTGAACATGACAATTCCTTGCACAGATGCCAACACAACTCCCCTTGTGAGCCCCTTCTCCCACCAAACCCTTCCTCCATGCTGCTTGCCTTTCAAACCCAAGCTCTTCTACTTCAGGAGAGTTCAGTTCCTCTATGGGCCTTTGATGAGCAATCTCGTTAAAAGAGGTTTGGAAATCTCAGTGGGTTATATCAGCTGGATCACCCTCTGCCACATGCTCTTCGACTCCTTCAAAGAATTTAAATGCGCTGATGAGTCATGACTTTCCCTCAAAGCCCTGTTGACTCATGGTAATTGAATGAGAAGCAGCTCCTCTGAGTCATCATTCCCCCACTCCAAAGGCAAGCATACAGTAGGTCGGTTTTTATTTCCATTCTGCTGGATCCAGAGATGTTCTGCTCCCCACAGCTTCACTCATCAGGCACACAAAGTCATGCTGGACCCCCCTTGCTGCAAACCAAACAGCTTCAGTTTGAGGGACCAAAAGCTACAACCCAGAAGAAGAAAGCAGAAGAGACATGAGACATCATCAGCACCCCAGGTCCTTGCAATAGGAAGGAACGGTTTTGACAGATGAAAGAATTAAGCCACCACAGCCTGAATGTGTGAATTTGTCTGCCCATATCATCAAACGATCAAATGATGAAAGCCCTCTCAAACCACGGGACACACTTTTTAAATTCTTACGAGTTGCACATCAAAGCACTCTTCAGAAGCAAATTTAAGAGACCATCAATCCAGAAACTTCTCTGCTGCTTTGTTCTGGGGCTTCCCAGGATACCTGCCTACTTAAACCAACGTGTCCCTTAGGAAAAAAACCACCAGTGATGGAAAATCCACCACAAGGATGGAGAGTGGATCACTCTCTTCAATATTAAGGCAAGGTACAATAGTAATTTTGTATAGTTAGCAATAACTTTGAACTGAAGTGCAGTTAACTTTGGCTCCTGTCTCCCAGAAGACCTTCACCTGATAGGTAGAAGGTCCTATAACCTCAGACCTCATACAGATACTCTCCATCCCTACAGACCACAATCAGACCATCATCTATCCTCCTCCATTTGGATATTGTGAACAGCCTGAGGGACTGAGCAGGCTTCCCTGGCTTGTGACCTTCTTGCACTGGTGACAATTTACCTACATGGACCCAATTTCCATTTACAGAGTTTTTCTTTTAAAAAAATTCGATTTCACAAGTCTTCCTTTGCAGTTTTGGAGCCACATTAGCACCAGTAAAAGGATTCAAGAGCTCATAAAAGGATGCTATAGAAAATACATTTGTATCTGGCTGGATAAATCCCACCGAGGGCTGTACAACTACCGCTATCACTGTAGCTGTGAGGGGTGAGAGCCTTGAGCATCCCAGATGCTGTAAAGGGCGTTTGCCCTTTCCAAACTGCTGACAGTACATGTGGGCAGGGCATATTACAGGTGAAGGAAAGAGGTCCTTCTCTGCCTTTTTCACAGAACTAAAGAAATTAAAATCCAGAATGCTAGATGCATCCTAGCATAGTTGCAGATATTTGTCAGAAATGGCCAAGATCATAGAATCACTAAGGTTGGAAAAGACCTCAAGGATCATCAAGTCCAACTGTCAACCCAACCCCACCCAACCCACTAACCCATGTCCCAAAGCACCACATCGACACGTTTTTTGACCCCCTCCAGGGATGGTGACTCCACCACTTCCCTGGGCAGCCTGTTCCAATGCCTGAGCACTCTTTCAGGGAAGAAATTTTTTCTAATATCTAGCCTCCTGCTACAATCGGTGGAAGGGGGTTAGATACCTTCAGCCCATGGCTCAGATCAGCCCTACACTGGGGGACGGTGTGGGGCACAGTGGAGCTGAGCTGGAACCATCCCACTGCTTGTTTGTGGCCACACGATGATTCCTTCCTCTGAAAGTCAGGCCAGGGACTGTGCCCCCCTTATCTGCCGCTGACCTGAACTGTACGTGAACTGTGACTTCCCGTTGAACACACTCTGTCCTAATCACCGCGCCGCAGACCTACCCCCACAGACCTCCTTTGCGGAAACTCTCTGAAATATAATTGGGCCATTTACTGAATTTTGTCTGGATAGGCAAGGCACTGAAGAGGCATTTGCTTTGTGAGCCCCTTATACTCTAATTATTGTTCAAGTTACCATTGCATCAGAGTCGAACAGAAGACACTTAAGAAAGCACGGAATTAGACACCAATTGTGGTTCATGGGGTCACGGAAGAAATGTAGTGCACAAAAAATAACACATAGGCCATCTCTAGTGTCTGTTCTTTAGCACTTGTACCCCATGAACATCCATTAATGCTAATGTTTATGACTAAATAGAACTATAAGTCAATTACAGATCCTGTTAGTGTTAATTCCCACTCAATCTATATATTTGCCTGCAGAACCACTAGAGAATTGTTATACAATAGATTTTTCTTTTTAAGTGAATGGATTTTTTTTTTTAAAGTACAAATACTCGGGAGCTCTGCTATTCAATCTCCTTGAGTTATTATAGGAATATAGCCAGTGATCCACCAATTAGTCTTGTCTGGTACAAGCACGATGGCAGCTGGTGAAATATCTGAGTAGAAAAACTTCATGTTTAAGGCATGTTAAGGGGTATTAAGGCAGTGGGCAGTAGAATAAAACCTCTACATGATGACTCTGTGAAGATATCTGTGTGGCTCTAGTTACTCATAATAAAAGCTTGCTGGAGAGGGGAAAATCTAGCACACAAGTGGCACAGTGCAAAAACCTAGGATGGTAATCCTTTGGATCCAGATCAGGATCACATGGACTTACAGTCTTGAGTCTAGATGCAGCTTGCCTGGCTTTGGACATGAACGAATGTATCCTGATTCTCAGAAAAGGTTAACAAAAGGCTTTTATCTGTTTCATGTCCACACAGATCATGCATGGCTTCCAGGTTTAGTGTGACCACATCTATACCAGCAAGCTCAGCATCTCTAGGGCTTGTTCCCTGACCAGGGGTCTCTGCCTTCCTGGCCTCTAAATGGTCCAAAGTGATCCTGCCTCATTCCTGGCAACACTCCAGGTCAGGCTGAATGGGGCTCTGAGCAACCCGGGCTACTGGGAGGTGTCCCTGCTCTTTACAGGGGGGTTGGAGCAGATGACTTTGAAGGTCCCTTCCAACCCAAACTATTCAGTGATTCTGTGATTCCATTGTGGGTGGCTCCCAACCCATGCAAAAGCTTGAGCTGTGCCTGGAAATCATCCAGGAGATAGCTGGTGATACCACAAAAACCATGCCCAGGGCTGTTCTACCTCCTTGACAGCACTGGCTCTGGACAGAATTCAGGTATTTTGAAATCTGGCCTCATTCTCATTTGATACAAACCCCATAATCTTCATAGATAAGCGTAGCTTAGAGATTGCACTCACTATCTGCCCAGGCAGATGAATTGGGTGTCCAGTGGTCCATGCTGCAGAGCAAGCATCAGGTTCAGACCTGGCCTCCCAGTTCATTACCAGGTAGCCAACTACAGGCAACCCACCAGATTTCTGAACCAGCCCAGCATGGCCAAAATGTGCCCTACCTGACTTCAGGTTCCCAGAAAACCATCCACCATCAGCAAAATGCTTCCCCTCCAGCCAATTAGCAAATTCTGCTGAAAAGTCGCATCACTTGTTCCTCTGCTGAAGAGCTCCACTAGCCCAGGGTATGGTTTTTGCCTTGCTTTGATTATTCCAGCTTTTAGCTTCCACTAGAAGCAGGTAGTTGCTGGGTTCTGAGCATTATCACACATGCAAGCGTTGTGTACTGTCACTGCTTGGAAAGCTCACATTTCGAGTTCATTTCTCAGACAGCTCTAACATTTCTGTAGATCAAAATAGCATCCTCATCAGCTTTCTGAGTACAGGAGATTCATTTTGCTGGGTACAAGTGCTCTTGCTGTTTCACCAGCATAATTCAGCCGCAGAACTTAAGGCTGGGCTGGGAAGTGCATTCTTTAATCATGTTAATGTTATCCTGTGGCAGTTTTCTTTTTAAAGTTTTTTGATTGAATTTAATGGAGGTGAAAGTCACTAGATGAATGGTTTCAGAGACAGATGCTCTCTGGCTAATCAAAAAATCATTTTGCAAAGCAAATTCCCAGTTTGCAGTCCACGGTCCCTGTGTCGCTGTCTTTCCTTAAAGGGCTGGGGATCTCTCTGTCCTGGGGATTTTTTTTAGTTCCCTCAATGAAAGCTTCCTCCAGGATGAAGCTGTCCATACATGTGTCTGCTCATCTGTCCCCTGCAAACACACACGCACGTCCAAGAAAACCCTTGCTCAGGGGAGGATGGAGACCTTAGTCCTGACACAGAGGCTGCAGGAGAGCCCAGTCCTTACCAGGCTCTCAGAGGAGGGGCTGGAGGTTGGATGCTATGAAATAAAAGGTGGTTTTTGGCTTTCAGACTTTGTTTGACATCAGGACAGCAATATGTTCTCAGGGCACAAGTGCAAAGTGACGTTCTCCCCCATTTGGCTGTTTGTGTCAGCTGTCTCCCTTAGCAGTCCCCGGTATCAAATACCACTCAAACTCTTTGTAATTTAGCTTGAAAAGTCCATCATCCTCTATCACCAACTCACTGCAATAAGATGTGACCAGTTCTGGCACCCACAGACCAACCTGCCACGACAGCAAAGGACGTTTGGATCAGAGCCCTCACCTGAGGAAGGATTCTAACATTCAAATTAAACACTCCTGGATTAGATTTCCCTCCCAATTCTTTCGCTTTGATCCTCTTGGATAAACTTTCTTGTCTCCTTTCAGTATTTAGCCTGGTGATGGAGCAGCACTGCCCAGGGCAGGAGGAGACTTCTCCTCCCATCGTTGCACAGCTCGGTCACAGCAGACACCGGGTTTTGAAATTGCTGTGAGATAACAGTCCAAATTTCTCCAGCCAGAGCCATCCAAAACTGTCTCCTATCCATGGGGACTTGTTGGGAACCACCCTTTTCCCTCGCCCTCCTTCCAGCTCCTTGCAGAGCTCCTGGATCGCGGCAGGGAGGGACTCAGGGCAGGGGGGAGAGCATGAGGAGAGGCTCATCCGCTCAACGAGGCGTTTTGTTTCCAGCACCACCACCGCTTTCTCACCCCAAGAGTCCCACACCCCCGCTGCCTGGGTCAATACACCTTTGCAGGCAGTTCCTTGGCCCCTGGGCATCCTGCAGAGAAGCTTTAGCAACCTCAGGAAGCCACGGGAGGGATCAATGTTAATTCCTGAAGCAAAGGTGCTTCTCCTCCGATGTCTCTACAACCCCGTAGGCAGCATGGCCACCCAGGAGGCTGTTTATTTTACCTGCATGGGGCATCTTTCTTCTTTCTCCAGCTCAGCACACAGCATGTTCTCCTCTAGCTCCAGGATCTGATCCACGCACTTCTCCCTGCTGACCAGCTTCATCTGCACCTTCTGCAGCAGGTGGGATGCTGGCACCGCAGCCGTGGGGAGATGCAAGAGAGAAGAGAATGATTCACAAACCCTGCAGAGCAGCACAGACTTGTGAACGTGAAACCACAGCCAGAGGTTAGCCCCAGCTGAATTTGTAAAGCATCTCAGGGCAAGAGGGTCTCAGGGCACAACCAGATGGCCTTGGGGTCATGGGGACTTACAGGGTCTGTCCAAACGTTGGCAGAGAAACGTTTGTGCTCTTGATTTTATGCCAGACTAGGAGGTGGGGAGGTAGGTAGAGAGGGGGAAGGTGTTAACAGGCAAAGATGAAATCCTGGGGAGTAGAGGCTTGCTAAATAGGTTTTTTTTAAATCACTTATTTTTGTAGATTAACCCTGGTACAGCTGGAAGACCCCAATGGGATGGCTTATCCTGTTGGTCTTGGTGATTACCTGAGACAAGCTGCTCTTGGGTTTCTCACTCCTGTTTTTGGGGAACTCAGTTTGAGGGACACTTCATGGGGTCCTGTATGAGCCCCGCAGAGGAAAGTCCACTGAGCTTTCCCCAGAACAGATTATCTTGTTATCCCCATGCTCTCCTGGGGGCTGTGAGGCCATGCCTCGCCCAGGGGACTAGCTGTATCTTTCACAAAGTGGCTGGTAGGCAGCCTACAATGGAAATAAGTGCTTTATTCTTCCCTTGAAATGGAAAAAAAACAAGAAATTGCAGCAGGCTCTAGCAAGCGACAAAAAGACTGAAAATATGCAGGGCTGCTTGCAAAACCCACTCATTTCACCAGCGTTTCTCTTCAAAGTCAACCTGAGTCTGAAGGATAAAACTGACTTTTGGTGGATGTTGCTGCTGGGGAGGAGAACTACAGATTTCAGAAACTCATTCCTTCTTCCATATTTCACTGAGCTAAATCCTCCCGGCACCTTCAGGAAAGTGAGACTCAAAGGTAAGATCTAAGAAATAGAAAGTTGTCAGTTCCCTTTCCCAGATAAGATGGGGCCAATCCATGGAAGCATCCACAGCGTAAAATGCTCTGATGGAGGTATCTCCAAGGAGGTGGCTCCAACCTGAGGTTTGACTGCAGGATGCTCTTGGCTTTCTTAGCCACCTGGGCACATGCCAGCTGAGAGATGTACACCAACAAAAGGCTGATAGAGATTAAAAATGACCCATTTTCCCCCACCGAGTAATATTGCCTCATACTTTTTAGCATGGCCCATATCACACCATCGCGCATCCCTCTCACCTAACTCAGCTTCTGCTGTTTTTCTTCTGAAACATCTCCCAGGCAGAAGGGCTGTGTTCCAGGGCTGAGCACATTGACCTCATGCAGGGTGCAATTGGGATGGCAGACGTAACGTCAACCGAGCCCACCCAGCAGCGTGAGGCTGATTTCCAGAGCCACACCACGCATTTTCATAGAGTCATAGAATCACAGGATGGTTTGGGACGGAAGGGCCCTTCAAGACCATCTATTTCCACCCCCCTGCCATGGGCAGGGACACCTCCCACTAGCCCAGGTTGCCCAAAGCCTCATCCAGCCTGGCCTTGAACCCCTCCAGGGATGGGGCATCCACAGCTTCTCTGGGCACCCTGGGCCACTGCCTCACCCCCTGCACAGGAAAACATTTCTTCCTCACATCACATCTTAATCTGCCCTCTTCCAATTTAAATCCCCTCATCCAATCACTGCATGTCCTTGTGAAGTTCCTTTTTTTTTTTTTTTTCTTCAAAGAGATGAGCTAATGAGAAATCCTGCCCAGCTGCAGAGTGACTCTGAAGCAGCCCCCTGCTTTTCTGTTTCTAACAGCACGTTACCTTGGTGAAATGGGAGAGTTTCACAGCTATAAGACAGTGCTGTGTTGCGTGTTACTGTTACATGAGGCAAATGAAGCCCAAGAAGGAAAATGCAGAGTTTTAGAGAGGAGACAGTAACTCTACAGAGCAGAACAGCAAGGGTTAATTGCAACCTTCACTTACTACAGCCTAGGAAGGACTGTTAAAGCCCCAAGGCTTCAACACCTGCCCATCCTTTACCCACCCTGCCCACTCTGTCCTGATTACCTCTTTCCAATAATGAAATTGCTCATTAGCCATTTAGGGACATTTGTTCAGGATAAACATTTTGGGTCACAATCAGTGCTGGAGCTACTTTCATTAGGGTTTAAATGAGAGCAATTAGCAATAGCAATCTGCTGTTCTAAATGAGTGAAGGAGTGGCCAGTACTATGGAATCAACCTGGTTCATGGAAGCTTTAAGCCAAAGACAACCCTAGATCTTCATCTGCAAGGTGTCCCTGCCCATGGCAGGGGGTTGGAACTCCATGATCTTCAAGGTCCCTTCCAACCCAAACCATTCTGGGATTCTATGATTTCCCTTATTCCAGACCACTTTAGACCCCACCTAACTTGCCCATCAGGGCAGTTTGTCATACTTTGGACGCCAAAAAATGCAAGCAAGAGGTTGAGTTCCCGCAGAGCAAAGCTGGGCTCTAAGGTTCCAGCTGAACCTGGTCCTCCAGCCTCTATTAGCAAATACATCTCCTGACAGCATCTCACCTGTGCCTGCGGCTCCCCACCCAGCAATCCAGCAGTGCTGCCACGTATCGGTGTCATAGATGAAGGGCAAGCAGACAGGCATCTTCTCATTGCTGAACTCGATGGGAGAGTTGAGCAGGATCAGCGCGATATCATTTTCCATGCTCACTCTGTCAAAGTTTTCGTGGATGATCAAGCTCTCTGGCTTATGTTTTTCCATCGGGAGCCCGAGGTCAGTTCCCCCCACTAAAACGGTGAGATCTGATGGCCTTATAACAAAAAAAAGAAGAAGTTTAGACATAAGCAAACACGCGGGTTTTGTGTTATAAAGCTTGGTGCCTCCTCCCCGTGAGCTGGGTAGGGTGATGCTCAGCAAATTTCAGAGGCAGGTTAGCTTTAAATATCACAGAAATCTACCCTCACTTCCAGGCAAAGCTCATTTTCAGGCGAGAGAGGTGCAGAGGTAGAAGGTGAAAGCAACCGAGTTATAAATAGCCCAGCTGCTAACAAAGAGATGGAGTGGGCTGGATTTTCAGGATGTTGTGCCCTGGCCTGGCTGCTCTGGACTGTGCTGTCCCCAGCCAGCTGCTCCAGGTTGTGAGGTCATTGTCACCGAGCAGCCCTGGCTCTGGGACCTGCTGTATTTTGGAAGGGGGTCAGGGAGGGCTGGGCTCTGCCCCTGGGCATTGCATGGTGTTGATTTATCCAGAACTTGCTGGTTTAGAATCAGGCTCTCTGTGAGGTGAAGGTGTTTGCTATATGAAAGCAATAGAAATTTTGGGGTTAGAATAAGCTGGAATGGAATACACCTCTTTTTACAAGGTACTGCAACATGTGAAGACATAGAGAAAATGCTTGGGGTCATCAGAGCAGCATCATGGGCATTTATATAAGGCTGCTCAGACCATCCTTCAAAATATTGTCCTTCTGCATCTCCTGGTTATGCAGATTTCTGCACATTTCTGTTGTAACACCACCTCTGAACAAAAATGGGCCGGTTTTCCCCGAAGGAGACAATTCCTGTTTTCAGGGCTCTTTCTGGCTTAGTCACTTATATATTGCACTTGACCCCACAGACGCAGATATCCCACACTCACAAGAAGTGACGTTATGAACCCACTGTGCCTGGGCTGTCCTCACTCCCCCCGAGTACTCACACCTCTTCTGCGAAGCAATGTGCCGCCGTCAGAATCCACAAGGCGCTGATGATGGTGCCTCCGCAGACGTGTTTCCCATTGCTCTGGATGCTCACGTGCCACGGGAACTCCCCAGCCTTGGCGTATCTCCCCACTGTGATCCTCTTGCCAGTCTCCTGGAAGGATTCGAAGGACGGTCGGAGGCCACACTCTGGGTACAAAACGAGACACGTTGCTCAAGTACAACGGTGCCGCTGCCTGTGATACTGAACTAGAGGGGCAGGACGTCAGCTAGAGCACTGGTCTAGAACTATTCGTGCTACTTGATCTCTACCAAAGTCCCTGGCATGGCTGTAGCCTCCCCAAAGCTGCACTCTGCCCAGGCAGTTTGGGGACTGGGGCTATGGACCATTTTCCACAGACAGGATGGATAAAATCCTTGTTTAGGGAGGATGAGTGGAAGAGTTCAGTATCAGGCTGTAGTACAAGCCGTAACTGTATGCCACCAGGCACAAGGAATAAGCCCAGGCTTATTTCATTTACCACTATGTGTATAACTACCACCTCTGTTGGTCATTTCTGAACATAAAAAATTGAGAAGAAAAACCTGCATGGATGTCGCCAATCAGAGAAGTTAAAGCAAAGAGGACAAGGAGCAGTATTTCCATCCCAGGCTTGGACCAACGCTCTTCAGCAGCATTCAGAGCAGCGATGCTTCTGCAGACTCCTCTGGACACCCTCCCTGTTCCGTGTTCTCACCAAAGGCAACATGCCTCTCTGCCGGGGCAACCAGGATGTGACATCACACAATCCATTGGTTTCTGGTGACAAATCAGAGTTAGACTTTCACAGCGCATGGCAAGGGTGGGTGTTGTAAGTTGGGTGCTGTAGCCTTTTTCGGATCCTGAACCGTGTTCTTCTCTCCGAAGACCTTAGCTGCTGGTCCTGCATCAGTTTTCATCTTTGTCTCTGAGAAATGCTGAAGTCTGTCAAACTTCGAATAAATTTTCTCTTCTTTGTTTAGACCGTCTCTGTGTTCTCAGAAGAAAGAGGCAGCTCTGTGGTAGGGGAAATTTCACACAGTGCCAAATGAAAACTATAGTATCAGAGATGTTGAGGCAGCCACTCCCTTCTTCCCTGTGGGCGAGGGTGGCTTACCAGACCAAACCCAGCTTTAAAAACTATTCCATGAAGCTGACCCATTACCATTTCACCTTTACTGATCCTATTCCCCATATACCTTTGTACCTTCAGCAGCAACTCCAAGGGGTCAAAGCCAAATCTCCACCCTACAGTAATTCCGTAATTAATTCCATGGTGGTATAACATTTTGGTGTGGACCAGTTTTAGCATCAATGGACCCATCTTTGCTGATTTCAAACCCGACACATTATTTCCATCAGGACAGGACTTAAAAAACCTCAGCCGGGTTCAGACCCGAGCCCAGCTGTATTAAGAACAGATGGTGCTTTCTCCAAAGACTTTCCAGCTTGTTTCAAAACAGTATCACGTGGAGCAGGAGGGAAGGGAGGGGAAAGGACAGAAGGGAACCAAGCAACATTTTATGAGCACCCGAATGATTCAGCATATGAAATGTTTTGCCTTGTACATTGGAGCAAATCAGGAGTTATCCCACTGAGGTCGGAATTATACAGGGGTTAAAACCCATAGGATGGAAGTCTGACTTTATTTTCCTCTCTTCTTTGCTTTTATGTCAACTCATGCCTAGGAAATTAGAGAAAAGTGCTGGTTTCCTTGACGGTGAGCACTAGAACATTTCAGTGGCTCAAGACGTTAAGGACAGGCGATCAGTTACCACAGCAACTGGAAATCCCAGCTGGGATGTGGGCACATTTGGGGGCACCTCCAGAAAGAACCTAACATCAATCCTGCCAGAGGTAGCTCCTCTCCAGCCTGCCCCAGGTATAAATCTGCTAAAAGGACAGGTCTCCGCTGGCTTTTGAGACTGGAATGAGCTCAGCATCATCTGAAGAGCAAGGGAAGATGGGGAGCTAATTTCTCTGTCACAGACTTACAGCCTGTCTCTGGATGCATATTTTCAGTTTCTCCAAGTTTGGACCAAGCTGGTCTGCTGGGTAGATGCTTTGGACCTTTCTGAGACCTTTTCCTGAGAAGGAAACCACATCAAACCCAGCCATGGAGAGGAGTGCCGTGGAGAGCTATGCCGAAGGCAATGCTGTGGATTTGTGTCTCTGGGTCCCCACCATCTGGCCATAAAAAATGGCTCTGGGTGCTCTGCTGCCCAGAGTTGTCACATCAAGATGGGCTCCTCCTTTTGCCGAAGGAAAGTAGAGTTACACATCTGCAAGAGGACACGCCAATGGCACATGTTCTTCAAACTTAGTGACTAAGCCTCCAAAATAGGAATCACGTGAGAGGCTCAAGCCCCCACCGCCCACTGCTCTGGGAAGTTCTGCAAGCAGCAGGCTGGATGGTGGAACAAACCCACCCCATCTCGCCTACTGAAGCTCTTTGTCCTACTAGCACACCCCATAGCATATACAGAATCACAGAATGGGTTGGGTTGGAA